AGGAAGATCCACGGCAACAACCCCATGACTGCAGCCCAGTCCAGCCTAAACAACTGGATGGTTCTTTAGCCTGCAGATCATTCCAGCATCCTGGCTGAAGGACGCAGTTAGTGGTTTCAGCCCATCTGAATTGTCTAGAAGCCAGACTCACTCCTCCGGGCCCCAGAAGACATGGCCAGATCCACCCCTGGGGACCTGAATACAAAATGCATTCCTCTGTTCAGTCTTTCCTAACAGACAACCTACAGAGCTTGTTAGAAATAAGATTCCAGGCTGGCTTCATGGTCTGCTGGTTAAGGCATCAGGCTCCCAAATGGCCAACTAAGTGTTTCAAGTCCCGAACCTACTGGCTAGAGAAACACACTGGGTGCATGTGTGTGCATGCTTAGAATCCCAACAGGAGAGAAAGAGATGGCGGGGAAGGGATTGCAGCATGACCATTCTCCATGGGGGCGTGTTCTCCTCTCCCTGCTTAGAGGCCAAGATTCCCAATGGGACTCTAACACCCCCAGATCTATGGGATCTCCCACACTCTGGGTGGAGACTTTAGGAACAGCCGGCCTCATGAATTCCTGGTCAACCCTTTGAGTTGAAAAATGTCTTGAGAACCCCGTGTTCCTTCTAAGACACTGGGGAAACAAATAAGAATCTAGGTAATAAATAAAGCCCTAAATACATCTGGGACTTAGACCTAGCAACCTTAAGTCAAAATCAATCTTGGGAAGGGATTGGAAGACAGGGAGTTGAAGCTGGACAGCACAAGATACCACTGCGCTGGAGGGTCCCATGGTGCTAGCGTAAGCAGTCATCGATCAATCAATGAATCAGTCTCCTTCCCTCTTCCTCCCTCTGCAGTCCTCACCCCATATAGCAACAACCTCAGGGGAGAATACGCAGAGAATGGACAGTGTGAATCCTATCACATTCTACTTGAGCTTTCAAGGTACATTCTTTTTTTTTTTTTTTTTTGGGGAGATTTTTCACTGTAGGGCGCGTGCGCTCGCCAGACAGACAGAGAGAGACATAGAGACAGAAAGCGAGAAATCACCCCCCAGGAGGGATGGTCACGCCGCAATCCCTTCTCCTCCATTCTCCTCTCAGGATCTTGGGCACGAACGCACACGCGCCCGGCGTTGAGTTTTAAGCCACCGGGTCCGGGACACGAACCACGGTCGACTACGTGGGAGTCCAGCGACATAGCCATTACGCTAACTGCTGGTTCCCTCAAGGTACATTCTTCAACGTGGTAGAAAGGGGACAGTCGGGGGCGTCCTCATTACTTCCCCACTTCCCCACCAGCCACCTCATCAGAGGGATTCAACAAACCTCCACCCAGACCGGCACACTCCCCAGTTCCGTCTGACCCCCTGCTATTCCACAGGCTTTCCTCCTCACCTTCCCGATGCCTTCATCCTGCGGAGCACCTCCGACCACGTCGGTGGTGGACGGGTGAGAGAAGTGACCCGCCGTCACCGCATAGCCTGAGCAGGGTGGGCAGGAACCAAGGACGGGGGAGAAAAAAAATCCATCAGAGGAAAACGCGTCTCAAGCATGTCCCCTACCTAGAAGTTACGTTCCAGTTATTCTTGAAACATAAACAGCCAGGGAACAAATCATGTTAGTCTTCTTGTGCAGAAATAGCTCATCTTCAAAAAGGCAGTCTCGCAAGGACATGGGGGCAGGGAAGATTGCTTTCCGAGTGTCCTCTTTGGGACAGGTAACTGTGACAAATACTACATATCTGATTTTTCTAGATACAATTTCCATATAGTAACGTATACACATCTGACATAGGGAACTTAAGAATGTGTAGACATACACATATACCCAAGCAATCACCACCCACATCAAGAAAAAGAAAGTAACTCTGGGACCAGCAGATGGGGTAATGGCTATGTTGCTGGACTCCCATATAGTTGACTGCAGTTCGAGTCCCAGACCTGGTGGCCTAAACTCCGCTGGGCATGTGTACATGTGTGCCCAAGATCCCGAGAGGAGAATGGAGGAGAAGGGATTGCAGCATAGCCATCACCCCTGGGGGGTGATTTCTTGCTTTCTGTCTGTCTCTGTCTTTCTGGTGAGCACACGTGCCCTATAGCAAAAACCTCAAAGAAAAAGAAAGAAAAAGAAAGTAACTCGAGACCCATAACCCCAAAGGTCCCCTCATACCCTCTCCCAGTCAATAGGCAGCCACCGTTCCACCACTATACGTTGGATTTGCCCTCTCTAGAATTTAACTCAACATCTGTGGCACCCACCCATGCTGTTGAGTGCAACCACAGTTTGTTTCTTTTTATTGGTGAGTAATGTTCCATTGAGTGAATTCTATCACATCTTTATTTTCTTCTTGCTGTGCATTTGAGGTTATTATAAATACAGTTGCCATGACTATTCTTACACATGTCTTCAAGTGTTATTATCTGTTTTGCTCTAACAACTCTAAGATGACGATACGATTGTGCCTTCCATTTTACATCCATGGAAATAGACAAAACATCTGAGCCAGGTGCCCGAGAACACACAGCAAGATGTAAATCCAGTCTCTGTGTGTCCAAAGCTCTGCTGTTAACCACGATACCACAGTCCCTCCTAGGGGACGGTGAAGAAGCTGACAGTGGCTGGTGGGCAGGTGGGTGGGTGGTCAAAGAGTTTGCATGCAAAAGGAATCTAGAAACAGAGGAAGAGTAGTCTGGGTTTGGTCTAAATGCGAGTCTTGCTGGAATGCTGCAAGCTCTCCGCTAGCCAGTACAAACCCTGAACAGGCTTCCACATAGTTCCTAAACCCTGTCATCACCCTCAAACACTAATGCTGTCATTACAAGCTGTTTGAGTCTTGTGATGACACTGTATCAAGATCAGTTCTTATTCACCACATCGCTGATCTCTCCCAGATTGGAGGTGCACGTTACCTAAGAGTATTAAGCGATATCAAAACCTCAACTGATTCTCTCTAATCCGGGCAGATAAGGGCCTCTGCTTTGTAAACAGGCAAAAACCACAGGCCGTAAGGTACAAAGGATCTAGGATTTTAAAACCACTATACAAACCAGGCTCGCTTTTTCTCTTCCTCCTCTGACTCAATGAACTTGTGTTGCGTTTCTACTTTACCATGACCTGAAATGCGAAACAGAACCCCACCTTCAAAGTGGTGCCTAGTGAGGGCTACGGTCCCAGTACCGGGCACACACAGCAGAGGCACTAAGACTGCATTCAGAACCCACTGGTGTATACCCAAGTGTGCTACTCACAAGCCATGTGGCCTTGGCAAGGTACATCATTTCTTTGTACCTCAGTTTCTTTATCTGTAAAATGTAGGTAACAGCAATAGTAGCTATTTCATAATGGGGTTTCAGGAATTAAAAGAAACAAAATGTAATCCTGGTATAGAATAAATCTTCAGGAAATGACAGCAGTAAAAGGAACCAGGAGAGTGAAGCAGCAAACACCGCAAAGACTCAGGGTGGAACTGCTGTTGGGTCTGTACTACTAGGCAAAACACTCATAGTTAGAAAGGAAAAGACAAGTTAACAACTCCCTACCCTCATCCTACAAGAAATTCCCAGTGACTGTAACAGGGTTAGGGTTTCCCCTGTTTTAATTTGTGTGAAAGAACATTTTTTTTTTTTTTGCTTGTTTGTTTTGCAGTTGTTAGGCCTTCCTAAATTTAGCTTCATTTTCAGTCCACAATTATAGCATTTAGGGCATGGATTAAAGAAGAGGGTCTTGTAATTGTCATCTAGACTAGTAAAGATGGCCAATCTCTGTTTTTACAGGGGAGGGCCTTGCCCCGGCATCATTCTTGCCTGAAGGCTGCTAAGTTAAATTGTGTCTGTATTCTTTCTAGATTAAGAAGTTGAGAGGAATTTTTTTTTTTTCTGTGCCTTTAATTCAACTTCAGCATGAGGCTGTTATCCACCAGCTTTGGGGCCAGGAAGCAGAGACCCCATCCAAAGAGATGCATCCTGAGGGACCAGCTGTTGGCGTAATGGCTATGTAGTTGGATTGCCATGTAGTTTACCGCAGTTCGAATCCCAGATCTGATGGCTTAAACTCATGCCGGGTGCATGTGCGTGTGTGCCCAAGATCCCGAGAGGAGAATGGAGGAGAAGGGATTGCAGTATGGCCATCTCCCCGGGGGGTGATTTCTCACTTTCTGTCTCTCTCTTTCTGGTGAGTGCACACACTCTACAGCAAAACAAAAAAAATCTGTCCCCCCAAAAAGAGAGTTTCACCCTGGAAAACAAGGGTTCTCCTGCACTCGTTTGTATCTGACCATCTGAACTTGAATAATCACTAGAAGAAGAAAATAAAACATCTGCCTTCTGGAAGCTCAGCTGTCAACTTCTTAATTAAATCATATAGTTTTGGTTTTTGGTTTTTTTGGTTTTTAAGATACTTTTGCTATAGGGTGTATGTGCTCACCAGAGAGAGAAAGAAAGCAAGAAATCACCCGCAAGGGGGGAATGGCCATACCGCAATTCCTTCTCCTCCAGGCCCTCGGCACTTTTTTTTTTTTTTTTTTTGT